GTAAGACATTCTTCATTCACCGTAATTCAGCGTGCGTAATTTCGTTTATTACCGGAATCCGAAAATTTTTATTCTTTTATTGAACGGTGTACCGCAATTTCTGCACTTCTGAATTTCCACCTATTTGCAATGTCTCTGGCTGTCTGCTTGATGTAACCCAAGAAAAGGAGTGAGTTGATTTCTAGTTTCCCTCTAAACCCCACTATTGGGCAGTCATTTTAAGCTCTCATCTCATTCATGCATTCATTCTTTTCCACCTCAAAACAATCGGAATAGACTTCCATACGTATTGTATATTCTTTATTCGTATACCGAAAGAAATAATGCTGACGAATGAGTTTGCAGCTAATCAAATGGCTACCATACATAAAAATGGGAACGTTGGGCGGCGGTCATATTGGGGTTCGAATGTACATCTTCCGGGGAGACAATTGTGTACTCTTAAGAACTGAGCCACCACCGTTGCTGTGTGCCTATAAGCTAACAGTTCCGGATGATATTGCATCCGTTTTCCTTCAAATAAATTCATCAGATCTAGCATTATGTCCTAAGCCATCCATTCTCCTCTTCCTATGGCGAAACATCTTGTCTTGCTCTCTGGAAGAAAACCATATTCTTTTTCTATCTCAAAGAATGAAAATGCTTCTGATCCCAATAACTATTCTCTCATCACTATGATCTCTGTAAGCTTGGAAGCTTTTCGAACCATTTCCTCCTACCAAGTGTAGCTTTCATCGACCATGAAGTTTTCTTGAATGGTAAATATACGGACGACCAACTGAATCTGTCCTATCGGTTCCGGTAATCTGCGTCTAATCGACATAGAAAACTGCATTTTGTAAGAATTCCAAGTGTCTACCGTCGAAATTACTCATGTTCGGTCTTCTCCTTGCTCTCGTATCGCGAATGTAATGTGTCCCCGACCAGCGAACGATCTTAGTCCAAGTAGAGGGGATCATGAATTCGTCATTATTTATGAATTCTAGTGTCTTCGATGTTACCGACTTACGCCTAACCTTCGTCTTCTATTTATTTGCTTTTTTAGATATCTTGTGCGATTTATTGTTTTGTCGAAGATATCTTTTTCTTAAGTTTGTTTCTCAACCCACAACTAGACAGGTCACCTCAACATTGCCCTTAGTCGTAAAATCACCAGTAGGCCACTCGTCTTCCATTTTAAACTCAACTTGCATGTGGTTCAACCACCCATATTTGCTTCTGTGCTCCCAAAGTGTATCTCCTTTAAGTTTTTCTTACATTCGTCTCTTATTTTCCTCAAATAAAGTATGATTTGTTTCGCCATCTTTCCACGGATTGTCTTCTACAGGTTCATTCCTATCTTTTCCATTCCTTTTGTCTCCATTTACAACCACACATCCCTCTCACGCTGAGCGCAAAGTTTCGTTTTCTGTGCAGGACACTTCACGCCCTCCCACCGGCCTTTGATATTCAAAGAGCTTAAACGTATCCGACGCTTGCTATTTTTCCTTGTTCTACGAGTTCATTGTAAGCCCATCCAGCTTATTTACGAATCATCTTCAACCTACAATCTGCAGTCACTTTCCATGACCAGGCAAATGCTTCGTTATCTTTATTCTAACATTAATATGTCGGGTTTCATTCGTTAGAATTCACTTTAGCGGCTCCCCTATTCCCGGCGGAAAACTCACCCCTTTCGTGTTTGCACCTGTTTACAAACCTTCTTCCTCTGAAAAATTATACAAGCATGTTATCGTGCGGCAACTGTGCATTCCCTAGTTTTCATCTTTCTATTTAACTTCCGTCATAATATTCAGTTAGTTGAGTTTCTACGGAAAAGAAAAAAATAAACAATCTTTTACTTCCCGAGTACTTAATTCGAGATTGTCAATTACATTAAGTTAGACCGATTTAAATGCGTATGGAGACATTCTGGGTCTAATGATATTTTTTCAATAATTTGACATCAACAACATTCTTTTATTTTGCATGTAGATAAATATAACCCGGTTTTTTGAAATCCCGAGTAGTTGAAATGATGACCGGTGATTTCACGTTTTTAGTTGTTCGTTTTTCTTGTTATCCATTCATTCTCAATGTAAAAGATCAGCAGGCAGCTTCAAATTTGCCCGCAAACTGTGATATGTCTCCGCATTGAAAAAGCGATGCTAAAATGTCCCTTCCGATTGAGGACATTGTGCTTTAATGCATACTGCAAACCAATTTATCACCAGTCAGTTTTTCTCACTGATACAACTCAAATTGGGCGTATTCCCATTATTGCTTAGGTCGGAACTGATTGGTTCTCTTGCTGCGTCGTTGATCATTTTTCCGTTCAAATTGCTAACGGTTCTGATCGCACATTGCAGGTGAACAGTATGCCCTCCGTTTTCTGCTTGACCTCAAACAAATTCTATCTCAAAATTGCACATACCACGCATGCAAATTTGACTTTATATTCAGCATTTGGTCATTGCTTGGATCACTATCCGTTGGATTATCAATGGCCTTGACCATGTACGGTCGGCTGGTTGTCCTTTGCTGCTCGTCGTTGATTGGTTACATGAGATATGCGTAAACAACAAAGAGCACTTCATCTGGGCCGGACCAATCAGAACAAACAACCGTGTAGGTGTGTGGACCAACTCAAAATACGAATCTCGACTGGATCATGCTTTTCATCTGACGTTTCATTTTAAACATACCTATAAATAACCTCGTTCTTGACCGTCCTACCCCAGTTTCTCACAGAGCATTGAAGATGTTGAGCATGCACACCAGTCATCATACTTCGTCCAAATGGAATTGTGTTGCTATATGTCTCATCATGTTTGTGTGTTACGTGCACGGGATGAGCCCGCTTGCTCTATCCGATGACGAGCGTGATTCTTTCGCGCTTGGCCGTTTACGCTATCGGATTCGCAGAGCTCGAAATCATGTTTCTAACGAACGGGAGCGTCCAGAGAATCAAGACTGTGGTTTGCATCCGATGGACATATTCCTTGCACGATTGTTTGATGAGATTGAACGCAAACAATCGGAAACGCTTCTTTCCCCGAACCAACCAACAGCAGCCAAAGACAGCTATGGCCGATTGCTTTACGCCTTTACACTGCTTCACATGACCAGTCCCAGGGCGTATCAACAGCTTTCAAATGCGATGACACTATGGGATATGTGCAAATCCAAGGGACAACAAACTGGCGGATCCAAACCCGAAGCAGCTTTGTCATGGTTGTTTAACGAACCAGTCAAGCCTGCAAGACCGTCTTATTAGGTTAAGAATGCTAACGGTTCCACGCATCCCATCCCGAAGCACTCTTTTTTTCGGCCTCTGTCGCATCATGTATTCCAAAGGTTCACTCCAATGTTTTGCACACAGTATGAGCTCATCGTTCATAAAGTTGATCAGTTATTCAGTTTAACTTCCCTGCCTCCTTTGACCTCCTTCTGCTTTGCTGTTTCTCTGTTTCTTTTCCCTTTACCAACAACCCTTATGTTTCAATGATTGGGAATGGTACAGCATTCCTACCGCCCTAAATATTTCGTTATACATTATACTTTAAGAGCTTCAATGTCCACAAGTCCGATGGCTTCTACTCNNNNGTACTGATTGATGATTGAAGATATGTCAGTGTTCTTCGGAACTCCTGGCCACGATTATACTGAAGAACTAAGCGAAACGTCGTCAAACCGATGAAAGAAGCTCAAGAAAGCGGAATTGAATGAATTCGGTAAGTCCTCTGTGAAACAGTACATAGTTTTTCTGAATTTAGCTTTTTTCTACCCCCGTCATTTATTATTATGAAAGAATGTCAGTTTGTGATTATTTCAACTTATTTTTTGCATCATGCTCTTTACAAAGACAGGAGGTGAAACGACAAAGACGTACAATTGATCGCTTTTTCCAGAAATATTAAGTCAATGCAGACAATAGAATCAGAAAGGATTTTCGCTTTCTGAATCGATGGACATTAGAAGATCTAATGCAAGGCATATATTTTTAGGTTTGAAACTGCGAATATTAACACTATACTGAGTTTATCGTAATTTCTATGGTTATCTATAAACAGTAGCATTTTGACGATATCACACGTTGAATTTGAGAGTAAAATTAAGCTGTCGTAAAAAATCTATCAGGGTCAAATAATGCATGTAGGTGAATATTTTGAATAACGAATTATCAAAAATAGACACAGTTGGGTCGGTTTTGGACATAAAACTTTGTTCATTTGACCGGCAGTGGCTCAATTCGCCTAGCTTACTTGATTGGAAATCTCACCTCTCTTGCCTTAGCTCTAATAGCCCGTAGTTTTCAACCGTTTGTAATTATTGGAGCCGTGGTCGAGTTTGCTCAGTAGTTCTCGTGCCCGGTGGATACATCGGGTGAGCTATAACGAGATTTGTCCTCGTGCTGCTGGGTGCTGGTAGTCGTTCTCTGAAATCGCTCTTCTCCGCCTCTAATGGCCTGGTCACATTTTGCATTTTGCCTGCTCACCGTCCATCTTTCCATGCTTTCTTTGCATTCGCCGCAGGAGGCCGAAAAACTTCTCCTTGAGGTCGGACCATGACCCGTCGTAGGGGTGTGAAGAAGTTAGTTTCAGTATTGGCTTTGTTTGGTGTAGTCCACCTCCTAGTTTAGTATTCAAGAGATGTTAATCGTCGCAGGTTAGAAAATGAGAGATGTATCGGAATGATAGTCAGTGAGGCAAATGCTGTACGGTCTGTTTGTTGAAATTCTGTACCGCATAAAAAGACGAACAAACATTAAGTTTTCTCAAAGTATTCGTTGACTCAAATAAGAGAACGAGTTCTACTGACCTGTTCCACAGAAAGTCTTACTCTAAAGCCTGAACTATTTTCGAGTACTGGTAGTTTGATTTATCTCTCCTTACCAAAGAAACTGGTTATGATTTTTTCCAAATCGCTTGAGTCATCAATTTAGCTCCTTACCAATCACAGACATTATTTGTTTTTCATCACCTGAGACTAATTATCAAGGCTTTTAAGTATGACACCTAATTCGTAATAAACTTGTTGGTTGTGATTGTTATTGTTGTACCAATACTGCATTGTATCACTGTCATTGTAGAATGATGTTTGGATCGTTTCTTACATCGAAATGCGTCAGTAAAATAATTAAATATCTCACCTTTTTCAAGAAGAAAACTATAAATAGGCTGTTACAGACCGCATCCAAAGTTTCCTATATTGTGTATTGCACCTGTACTTCTCGATTATCAAGTCACACCAAATCAAACCAGGTTTATGCCCACAAACAGAGTGAACATTCGGCCTCATGTGTAAAATACAGTGCGGTATAGATTAACGTTAGTGATATTAGATACGCGGATACGGAGTACTTCAGTGCCTGCCCGATAGCCATTCATCTGTATTATCGATAAAAGATGAACAATTTCCTACCGCGTGCTCTGAATCAAGACGCTGGGATAAAATGTGCTGCAGACTGTAATGAGCACCAGGCCTTTGGAGTCCGAGGGCCGAAAAGAATGCATGTTTTGTATTTATAACCCAAAATATTGATTCCCTGAGTCCATGAACGGTCGCGGTGCTGGATTGTTCCCCAGTACTAAGAGGTGATACGACCGGAAATTTCGAGTGAAAAGAAGCATCAGCACATCTGAGGATGTTTGGAGGAGAGAGCTGTTGACCAGCGACAAAATCCGGTTTAAACATCATGAAGACAGATCACACTAGGGTAAGTTGATTCAAATACAACAGCATCCTAACACTGATAGTCGATGAATTCACTGAAGATTGACGGGGTTTCGGTGTAAAATAAGATCAAACGAGACAGAATAGCCCCCTGAAAAACAAACAGAAGAGTGCATTGAATAAATTTGCTTGATAGCACACACGATTGAAAATCATTAAAAAGATATTTTGATGAAGCAGTGTGTTTGAGGCATTCATAGTGTTCAACGGATGACATGTCAAGACATTTCGTGCTTGGAGGCGTTTTCACACGTTCCGCACATACTGCCCTCATTTGGTTCTCCGTAATGTTTCCACGACCCAGTGAACATTTTCAACATACTTGCTAAATTGTGGATCCTGATAAACACACGGCCTTACTGAACGTTACGTGCGATACGTTTGTTTGTGCCCGATGTTCAAATGAATGGACCGTGTCACGCGAATTTCACATGGCAAGGAGCAGGGAGCATAGAGGTTGTCAGTTTTCGTTCCGATGCATTCATTACTGACCCCGATTTGGTCAAAATAACGTTCAATTAAGAAAAGCTAGGATGAAGGGGGGCGAGGGAGACAAGGGATTTGTTCTGATTGGATTAAATGCATGTTTTCACCGGGTCTCTGATGTCACAATGAAATGCATCCGTGTTGGTGCGTGTCTGTTCCGTTTCTGTCCAGGTGGTGCGTGGGCGAACGCTTTGGGGACAAAAATATGAAACCGTTGGAGAATATTGATCGATGTTCGCACTGTACGGCGACAAACTAGTGAATATGATCTGTTCGCTGAAAATCACCACATTTGGGACTCTTTCCTGCATTTCGAGGGCAAAGGGAGTGTTATCTATTTAAATAAAGCAAACATATCATTTTATTACAGACTGCAATATATACATTCGTTTTACACACGAAGAGTCCGCCAGGACATTCTGGAATAACCAGCCACACAGTTTACTATCCTGCTTATATAACCATCAACGTTTATTAGTGTACGTGTAGAAACCAGCTGACTTAAACTGTTCGTCACAAGTAAGGTCGGAGTGAAAGAAGACGCGGCTTTTGACAATTTTTTAACCCCTAGATTCGGTTAATCTTAGACAAATTGCAACAACACAATTCTCTTCCATCTCGTTCGCTCTAAGAACGACCCATAAAACCGAAATGGATGAATTGCTGGCGTAAACGTCAGTAGTTGATGAAAGAACCTGGCGACGAATAGGGATTTTAAATGGTGGCTTGAAAACCCCGTTGGAAATGGTTTAATAGCACTCGGTTTGAAAGAATTTTCGGCTTTCGCAACAGTTTTTTGAAAACCGTTTTATCCGTTTGAACGGCGCTGACAAATTGGTTTCAAATATTCAGATCTGGTCACTAGTTTAGGTGGGATGCTCGGCACATGCTTGTTGTTTGATTGAAGAAGAGACGAGAGGAATAAAACAAAAACACAGTTTGGAAGGCTCCAACCATTTCTGTTACCCTGATAGGGCTGGTACTTAAATGAACACATTTTGATGCACAAATTATTTGATTACAATTCATCCATGGATTTTGTAAAATTTCAAAACTCTAGCATGCTAGTGAGCTTCGAAAACTACTGTAGTCAGTATTATAGAATAAATCAGGTAAAGCGTAGTCTAAATCGAAGCGAGTCGTGAGTTTATGGAGCTTAAGTGTTTCAGCTTGTATGGAGCAAATCATTTCATGAGTTTCTGGTTGCTGGTCGTTGGAAATGGTCACAATAATTACATCCAGACAGATGTTTGTTTTTATAAAATATCCGAAAAATTTTGGGTAAATTATATTTCGTGTTAAATTGTGATATCCCATGAAGAAGAGATTTTCCAGTACCGTCATCATATAAACGTACCGAAAAGAAAGACATTTCAATATTGTTTTACTGGAGGATAGATTTTTATTCTTTAAAACAGCCAAAATATATTTGAAAAGCATTTTGTCTTGATTGATGCGGTTTCCCATTTTAGGTGCTTTTCGCACAAAATTGCAAACTGGCCACCTACATGTTACAAGACGTCAAAACACACCGCGCACTCCTTCCCCTAATATCTCTTCTAAGGTGTCCATCTGATTATCAGCTAGTCACTTCTTATCTACCTCTAAATTGAAATCACTGACATGTTTTTGAAAGTTTGTTGACAACATTATACACACCGTGAAGTAGAGCAATGATGCGATAGTGGGATATATGAAATTTTGTTGTTGATTGGTCGAACTTATTCAACACTCGGACTTCTTGCTCCATCAATACATGCCAATCACATTTGAGCATAAAGTCACCTTTTCGGGGTTTGTGCAAAATAACTTTCTTCACTGACATAATTTAAAGCATTCCTGTACCAATAATGTTTCAATTTTTTGATCATTTAGCAAGTCCAGTTTCGGGCCAATGCAGAAAACTCCACATACTCCATTTATCCTTCAACCAATTCGCATCTAAATTCCCCGATATCATGGGACTGTAACGAGTCTACGGTCAGAAAAGCTGTACTCCAGCGGTCACGTCCCCGGGTGACAGAAAGAAGAAAAACCCGCTAGACGATTAACCGG